ACCTCTCTTTAGTCTTATACCATATCCATGGTGGTCTTAGTACGTACCTCGTTGTGTCTGGTGGGTCACACATACTGCTCATGTTACACAACGTCCTCCAACAATCCGGACCACCAACAATTCTATGAACATTACATATTATAAAATATTATTATTGACAAAATACACGCCCTTTGTTACGTCTAATTTCCTTCATTAAACGTCTTGTGTGACCACAAAATGGAAAGAGAGCCGTATCCCGCGGTTTATGGAAGAAATATTAAACAATTGGCTTTTAAAGTAACTTCTCAAACTCATTAATAATTCATCAAGTTAAGACAAAGAAAATCACAAGTTTTGGATACCCGGTCTTAATTAGCATAGATTTTGACGATGTTATTTCTCCGTTTACTCCTTAGTTTTTGTTTCGATTGAGAAGATAGATCAAACGCTCGAGGCAGTGTTTCATCGGCTATCCAAACACCTCGCATTCCGTCATAAATACTCCGCTGCGTGTCGTATTTTCAACTCTCTTCTCGGTGTTTGGATATCCCGATGAAACACTGTCTGTCGTGTTTGATATATTACAATACACACTAGTTATGTAACGCTTTCGGGTGGTATACGATGGAATATCCCATGGTATACACACTCGCCTGAGGGCTCGTGTGTATACCCAGAAAATACGAGAGGCTCGTGGGACATTTCATGGTATACCACGAGAGAGAGTTCCATAACTATTTTATACCATGCCAAAAATAATAGTAAATACAGTGGCCAACACAATCAGACAATGCGACATACGTGCGGCGCATGATGGGAAGTAAAGTTTGTACGTAATACCATCGAATATACAACGGCTTTCCTGTATTCTGATTGGATGAATTTTCTACGGCATGATATAAAGTAACATAAACAGCAGTACATACATGTGTAGCGCAAATTCAACAAAGCCTGCTAAACAATGTATGTACCAAGGCCTGATGATAAAATTACGTCAAAGATGCTCGTTTAAAACTTAGACTTATTTTTTAAACAACGTAGATTATTTTAGAGCACGTACCTCTCGTTCAATGAAATTGGATGATTAAGTCGTTCTTTAGCTAGAGAATGACAAGCCATCAAACGTTTAAACAGCAGCTGCTCTTGAATTCTGAAATAAAAACGAACAACCAATATATCCACAATGCTTTCTCTTGCCCCGAACCCCTAGCCGTTTTCCCACTCGCTCTTCACGCCTTACTCTTACATCTACTAACCGAACGCCTGGAGCAGGCAACCCCTCTAGGTATTGTATTGATGAACGTCCAAATTCTCTTAACTGACATTCAAAGAACTCCAGCAACTAGTAAGGAGAATGACTATATAAATATTTCAGAGTAAGAGCTGACCTGTACTGATTGGCACAAACAAGATCTGGTCCTCTCCTCAGCAGCCACACTCCCCAGGGATCCAGTCGACCAATCAAATGGTCTGAACTGGAATCTTCTACTAACCTGCAGGGAGAAAAAGGTGTTATTTAAAATATGGCTAGCTCTGTGAGTGAACGAGATGAACCAAATCCTACTCTATGATTGGCTATCTGAGCAGGCAAGATGGTGCTCTCTTGCCTGCTTGGGCTTACCCGCTGTGTCCCGCAATAAAATAGAGTTCTTTTTTATATAATAAATGCTTTATTGACCAAGTTTGTTTGGTCAAGATGGCTGGATATTCAGCATTCTTGACCTCACACTTGGTCAATAACCTATATATACTGTAATCTTTACCAGATCTAAAGATGAACATGTAAAAACAGTGGTGATGTTGGACTTGACCAGAAGTTTGATGTAAACTTCTGACACAACAGAGACTGGAGGATTGTACAAACCTCACTTCTGCCTTTCTCTTCACTGACTCCTTTAAATTGCTCATTGAAAATGGAATTTCTGTCTTCTTGTAGAGAAGTTTCCTTTGCAGTGGATTTGGTGACATCACTTTGTTTATCAATGGCTGGTTTGTGATCTGAAAAGTAGATGATTGTCACAAGTCAGTAGAGTTGTAACAAGGTCCTGTAAATTTTTCACAATGCAAACACAAATAGCACAAACCTCTGGGATTTTCTTTATCTTCTTACTGGACAGGGACAACCTTGACTTTTCCTATGTACAAGATAATGACAGAAATAAATTCCTTTCAAACTAGTAGAAATGTTAAAACGGAGAGGCAGTTCGCCGCTGTAGAAGCTCTGCCATCCCTCCCCCTCTCTCTCCCCCCATGGTATAGTAACCCCAACCCACCCACCCCCTCCTCAGCTGCTTCAAAACATCTTGGTGCTGAATTATTATGGCTGAGGTTTCAATAGCAGAGCTTGAAAAAATTTGAATTTGAGCTTGCCCTTCAGACAAGTAACTCTCATATGTCACTTGCCTGGGGCAAGTGCATGTTTGTTTTTGTTTCCCTTGTTTATGACTTGATTAGAAAATGACTTTCCTGGGCCTCTGTCCATTGGGCATGTGGACATGAAAAGTTACTTGCCCCACAGGAAAATCAACTTGTCCCAGATAACCAGACGGGACTTTTCATGAGCCCTGAAAAGAGCTTTAAGGTCATTCCACTGAAATAGAACCTGCCCTGAGATTTTTGTGAAACTTTGCCTATTGATTGTTTATCTTATAGGAACTTGAATTTTGAAATAAAAATGAGGGGTC